CATGTTCAAGACAGAAAGAAGTTTAAGTTACCTTTCTTTTAAGTCACAGAAATGCTTAAAAACACCATTTCTTTTGTCATTAATGTAACTTCTATACACTTTTTGATTCAAGAAGCAAAAAAAAAAAAATGTTTCAAAAAAAAATAATTACCTACCTATCTACCTATATTTTTTCAGCCTGAAAGGGGAAACAAATTTTTTTTTTTTTTCTAGGCTTAACAACTTCCACTCAATTGAATTTTGTTCGTAATTTAAACAAAAAGCCATGAAATTCACAATTTCGAAAGACGCACCTTTGTTTATCATAATTATACACTTAGTTAGCATGCTTACTTTGGTTACTAAATACCCAAAGGTAGATCAGAGTAATAAAGATACAATGCAATTCCATTTTATAACCACCAGTTGTGTACCCCACCCCACAGGAACCACTAACCCTGGGACCACACATTTCAAAATTTACTAAATGTTTTCATAGGTTTTATTTCATCTTAAATGGTTTGATTAATTCCAAAGAGCTATAAGACCCACCCTAATACTAGAATCCCTGACCCTGGGGTCATGAATTTCATAATTATGGTAGAGGACTCAATGCCGATTACAATCATACCAACAGTTTGACTGCTTGATGTTCAGGAGGGGAAAAGAAGAAGGGGATTTTCAAAGATTGCATGAATTTTAGTGGTTTTGGCCCCACCCCTCAGGCCCGCGGGGGGAGGGGGGGGATAAAATTTATAAATTTTGTTCCCCTTCACCAAAATTGGTTGAAATTGGTTGAGCGGTTGCAGAGAAGCTGAAAATTATGATAATAGTTATCTTAAATAAATCATACAATTTTAGTAGGTAGCTCGCAAAATGAGACTTTCTAAGAAAATGTTTATTTCATGGAAACATATAAAGATATTATAAAAAACTTAAAAAGGAGCTGAAAGCAGCTTACATTTTAACCCCCTCCCCCCCCCCCCCCCAACCTCACAACACACTGACTATGATCATGATGATGAATACTAAATAGAGAGCTTAACATGACACAGTGAGATTAACAAAACAATAGAAAATAAAAACATAAACTTTATGCTTTAGTCCTTAATTTCCTAAAATAGAGCTACATAAATTATATTAAGTTCTTACTCACTGTTAAAACATACCTTTTAACAGAAGTATTCTTCATCCTCTCCTATTAGCCTTAGTTTTCAGATGGTTTGTTCAGTGGATATCTGAAATTAAAATAGATCAAATTAGTACAGTACCGTACATTAATAACTGTTTTTGTTTTTAGCATGAGCTAGGAAAAGTCCCAAAAACCACTTGCATGTCCATTTCCTTGCACCTGACATTCAGTTAAAATTTAATAGACACATGACAAAGAAAAAAATGATGGAAAATTGTATCATTTTAAAATGGACACACTCTGGTCTAATTTTAAGTGGCAGTCCTATCACAACCACAATTTAAAAGTTCTTGAAAAGCAATTATATCTGAGAGTGAGAAAAATTAAATAAGTTACAATTTTTCATAAAAGCAAGACTACATCTAAATTATGTTTGTTTAAGATATGTAGGCCTTCTTTGATTAAAATTATAATCCATTTAATACTTTATTTTATTTATTCCATTTTGCATCAAGGGCAGATAATTATTTATATAATAAGACAGAAGTATGACTCTTTAGTGGCCATTGTTGAAAATTGATTTAATTAGTGATAGAAATATGGCAAATGGTAAACAGCTATAAACAGAGAGATTACAAAAATCTTATTTGTGTATCAGTCATTTTATCAAGTCAATAAAATTTAGAAGTCATATAGACGTAAAAGTATTATATCAAATTTTCATAATGGGTCACACAGTGTGGCCCAGTGGTTAGAGCGACACGCCTCAAGTTGGGAAGTAGGTGCTGATTCTTACATCACGGGTCTGAATCCAATGTAGAATCCTAGAATTCTAGAATCCAATGTAGTACATAGAGACCACTCCCTCGGATGAGAGCAGAGACTGTGTTGGTGATGTATCCACATGAATAAAAAGTTCTCTAAACGGATATCATAATTTCTATGAGCAACAAACAAATACTAGTATATGACTATATAATATCAATGCATGCAACTTAAGAAATTGATAATGGCCAATTGCTCATTTCATCAAGCTCCAGTTTATCATAATGCAGAATTTATATACAATACAGGTAAACAATAGCTGTTCTGTTGATATCAAGAGAATCATGTTTATGGTTAATATGATTTAAAAGTGATTTCTGATATTTAGAAACTGCACGGTGCAGCACCACATTTAATATTTGAAACACAGGGTACAAAAATAACATAAGTATTTCTAATGAAGAATTAAACCATGCACACTAAATCAAGTTTTCGGTTGCTTAAATAGTCTTATTTATTTCATATAGATCAAAACATGCATATGTGTCAACATGAAATTAAAATTTAATTCAAAATAAATATCATTTTAAGTTTAATTCATCATAATTATGCCTTGTAAGAAAAGATGCTTATGTATCTTTGTATATAAATAGTTTATTCACTTTCGACATTTGCTTTAAAATCCTTATGTATGGTATGAAAATAAAATACTTCAACTTGAATAATGTGCGGCATTGTGAAAATTATCAAGTCACTTTCATAGCCCAAAAATCTGCAAGTTCTCAGGAATTTTACTTTCATGACTACAACATGTACAAATTGGCATTTCACAGTGATACAATACTACACGATGGCATTCTCCCATCATGATGCCCTCTTACATGTCTAATATTTACGATTCTAGATTGCATGTATGTTAAAAATATATTGAACCCCTTCCTCAGCTGTGCAGCACAGTCTTCCATCAATAATAAAAACAATTCAGCAAAAAATAAATGTACGATTCAAGAAACTACTTCTGAGAGTAACATTGAACACATCCAGCAGCTATAATGAACAATAAAGCTCACCTTTTCTGAAAAAAACATAAGCGTGGGGTCAAATCTTTCGATTTTGCAAATGAAAAAGTTAACACCGGATACAAGTACATAACGATATTATCCTCTAAAACCAACCTACATTTAAAATTCCGGAATACTACAACACGTTGTAATTTTTAAATTATGGAAATTTTACATGATCGGGACGATGCAGAATACGAAAAACATAATATTTTTGAAAGTTAAATACAATGGTGCAAAATACATGCATGCGTTTAAACAGCAGTTAATTATATGTATAACAACATAAGCTGAGAATGATTTACAAGGCGCTTTTTCACAATAATTACAACTATACAATGGTCATTTTGAATTTTTGGAACGCGCCATTTTAGGTCAACATTATTCTTACGATTTCAGACGATAAAAACAAAAATAAAGATGCTCTGAACTGTAACAAATAACTACCTGTATCTAATCTGCCGTTTGGGGTGCCTTTCTTCAGTGTAGATTCAAAAGATCTTCTCATCTCTGTTGTTTTTCTTGAGCAAATTCTTGGTGTTTTCTTCGCCATTTTGTCCTTCTTTCTTCTCTGAAAATCTAACCAATGAGAGAGAAGCATTCTGCCGCGATACGCCACCTAGTGATTCAAATTCTTTACGGAAAATTCAGTTTAGCAATTTTTTTTTTACGTTTTAAATGCAAATGTCCTTGTATATATATGGCAACAGAATGAACAGTTTTGAATGATAATATAAAATTGATCATGGAATCGAAGGGGATAAAAAGCGAATTTTAGACCTTTATTACATGATTATGGTAATTGTTGAAACGGACTCCGAATGTCCTGTTTTCAAATAGAATGATATAAAGTCACATGTACACATGTACTTCGATTATTGTGTAAAGAAAAAGAAAAGAAAAGAAAAAAGAAAATGGTATACAAGTCAACAAAGTTATGCTGATGGCATATTAACCACATATGGGGTGCAACTCAAAAGCAAAATTGGGGTTATATTTAAAATTATTCATCAATTGTTGAAAATTTTCTACTCAGAAAATATCAACATGAATGTACAAGTCTATTTGTTATCTAGGAATTTCCTGTCACAGCTTACAAACTGAAGTGGGGAGATTTACCAATAATTCTCCTGAAGATCGATTATGTAGATGTAACATTCATTTTGTTTTTATAACATTGTCATGTAAAAAAAAAAAATATGATCGTCAAACATGTCCCCCCCCCCCCCCCAAAAAAAAATATCTCAGTTTATTAATAGTAAATCTCCATACTTCTCAGCTTTAGATGATGAACCAAAAAAATATTGGTCACTCAATACAGAAGATACGGAAACTCTTAATTTTGCAGGCAAATTTATATAAATGATATCATGTAATAGAAGTGGTCATAGTCCTTTACACATGTCATATGTAAATTCTTCTTTATTCCTTTATAATACAGGATTATTATTTGCTTTTAATAATTTTTTTGCTATTGATTGACTTATCTTTTCCTTATTATTGTAATAATCTCACACTTTTCTGTTTTGGACTCTAAATTAGAAATAAAACGTTGTTTTGATATAATGTACTTAGAAATAACCCATAGAAAAAAGTTATGAAATAAAACAGACTTAGTTTTCATTAGGTTGCGTTTCATTGACCTCTAAATATTTTCAATATTTGAAGTTTACAATGGTGGCAAACAAGGAATACCATTAATTGTCGATTTCTTTTTGTGATAGCCGATATTTTTGTGTGGAGAAATTGTAAAATAATATTGAAATTTTTGAAATAGTCTATTGAACTAGCTATAGCAAATATTCTCCTTACCAATAGATTAATTTTATTATATTAGATTGATAGATAAATATTTAAGAGGTTTGTCTATTTTCTTTTAATCACCAACACATAAAATAAAAACTTCTTATGCTAAATATGAAACATTGTATGAAATATTTTACATAACACATTATACATATGACATGTTTGATTTTAGGTGAAGTTTTATATAGTATGATTTTTTTTTAATTTTGAATGTTCAGAAACCTGGGTGTCATTAGAAAAGGCTAGCTGTGTATACCATGTACTGCGTGTATATATTACGCCTGGTCACAGTCCATTGTTCCTCTAAGGTAGAAAAACCCCTCAATCCACATAGAATATACAAAAAATACACCAACACGGTAGCAGGTGTCTTCGTGACACGTGTCTCCCCACCTGTGGCACGTGAGGACAGGTGCCCGCGAGTGGGGTTCAATGTAAAGAATTGAAAATTTGTTCAACTTACAGACTACTTTAAGTTTATTTAAAAAAAACTGAGTTCTATATCACATATTTAGCACATTATACATCTCAATACGAATATAATTGAACATATTACTAAAAAGTATACCGCGTTTTCAGTGATATTGCATTAATTAACATCACGAAAGCAAGATATATGAAATAAAACAAAAAAAAAAAAAAAAAAAAAGAAAAGAAAAGCCTACACATAATATACAATCTAATTAAAATTTTGAGATTTTTCATTCGCTCCCAGGGTATTGTTTCACAAAAGCAGACTTTTTACATATAAGAGTTCCTCGTGTAAATAAACATTAGGGGAACAAATGGAAGATTTGATTTTAATCAGATTGACAAAAAATGCTGCAAATCCTGGGAACCATGACATCAAATTTTCAGGACATGTTTTCTTGTAATATTTTTAATGCTGTAAAACCGCGGCTTACGAATAAAATGTTTTTACGAAGACGGAAATAAAAATACATATATGTAGATATTAAATCAATGTTATTATAAAAATAACTAGTACATGTTACTATTGAACTATATATATATATGAATAGTAAAAAAGGCTTCCTAGTCAATATGTATTGTTAACAAATTGAAATTATTGAAATGATATTCATTAAGGAAAATATATAGAGAAACGTGTATAAAGAATATAAATGCAAACCTTTCTATCTCAGATTATGTTCACTCTCGTAATTATCTGTATTTCATGCACCATGAAGACACACTAATTTTCTTTTTAAACAACTTTACATGAAACGTAATCGTAGTTTTGTGAAAATGATGTAAGTTTTCAAAATAATCAATTCCCGAGGGGGAGTATTGAGTTGGGTAATGTAGAAAATCCTTGTGAGAGGAATCGATTTTGTTAAAAAAAAATATTTTTGAATTCCGACACAATATGAAATAAACAATTTTTATACATTTGATATGAAGAAAGGATCTTGTATAATATGCTTATCATTGATATCAATATCGGTGTGTGTAAGTTTACACAGAGCAGGCACATCTCAAAATCTGAATATGAAATATTAGATATTTAAAAATAAAACCATTTCTTTAAATGTGTAAATAAATATAAGGATGATATGAGTTGATTTTTCTACCCTTTTGAAAAAAAATTAAAGAGAAAAAGTTTCAGTTCGGTTTCAGCATGCGGAAACCATGTGGAATCGAAATCAATAGTAAAAAGATCATATGCATACGAGTTGATTTTTCTATCCTTTTGAAAAAAAATAGAAAAAGTTTCAGTACGGTTTCAGCATGCGGAAACCATATGGAATCGAAATTAATAGTTTCCGGAAACGGAAACCTACTGAAACTAAAACGTATCGTTAAATTGACGTTTCATTAAATTTTACATTGGTTTTCGTTTTGCGGAAACTATTAGGAAACAAACCTAATGGTTTCAGTATACGGAAACCCTACTGAAACTTGCTGAAACTATTATATAGTTTCCGCATTGCGGAAACCATACAGGAAACTTCAACGCCAAGTTTCAGCAAGGTTTCCGCATAGTTTCAGTTTTGCGGAAACTAGACTTTTCATCCAGTGTTCTTTGATTCTTTCTGAGTTAGAGTGTCGCAGCGATGGAAATGCAGACTCACGTAAACCCCGTACTTCTAAGAGTTTATCCCTGGAAAAAAGAAAAATACAAAAGCCGCTGAACTCATATTCGAATGTCACTGAAAATTATCTAAGGAGTATTCTAGTCAAAAATAGTGAAATACGCAGGAAGACTTTTAATATAGAATTTGTTGAGCGAGAGCCTTCTGTGATTGGTGATGATGGAGGATACGACAATCTTCTATTGTCTGAGGAACTTCCTTTAGATGAGGATTCTTGGGATGATATTTCGTCCACAGAAGAGGAGCATGAATGTGTGCTTCAGGCTTTATATAATACAATCTGGAATTCTGATCTGAATAATCTAAATGGTGCTCAAAATAAAACGACTGAGGATGATAAGATTTATGAACTTGAGGATGCTAAGCTATCCTCGCTGTGGAAAAAAGACAGGTTCTCGAAGCTACGGGACTGTGATAAATTATTTTCCCAGAGGTTCGGGAAATTTCCTCTTAGAAGACCTCTAGACTCAAAGTCAAGCTTAGAGCAAATGTTTGACAGGGACGGGAAACTGGAAATATCTTCGCCCGATTGTGATCTGAAAAAGATAGAGGAGAAAGAGGGAACTTACAATGTAGCAAATTTCTCAATTTTCAAAAAACGTCGTAGTCTGTCAGACCCAGGGATAACACGCTACAGTTCTGTAGCTTCATTTGGGATGGAGGATCATGAACACATAGAAACACAGCCCTACATGGATGAAAATGTTACACAATTTAGTGGACAGAGCGACAAAATGAAAGACAGGGAAGACGATGTGTTCGAAATGGACAAATTTGATGCAGAAAAGAGTTTATTTGATAATTTTTACACAGAAATTAATTTTGATTCCTCGTCAGCTGGTATGGCATTAGTTGATCATTTAAATGCCATACTGGCACGTTACAGTGACGGTGTCTCTATTAAAGGGTTTGATAATACTGAGAATTTGCAAGATTCTGACCTGAGTTACCTTCCAGCCAACAGTGAGAAAATGCTGGAGAGTTTGAGAATTTCAGAGGGTAGCATAAAGTCAAAAGAACTGGAAGCAAAGATTGTGTCATTAGCAAAGGATGTCAGAAAGAAAAAGCGCCCCGCCCCTCCGCCACCTATGGCCTCTCTCCCACAACCAACCTCTACAAAAAGCTTAAATCTAAACAGTAAGAAATCCTCCAATATAACATCAACTTCATATTTAAAGAACTTATCCGACCCAAGCGACCCACTATCCAGCAGTGAAAACATTCTGGAGATTTATAGAATGCCAAAGGGTAGTAAAAAGTCAAAAGAGCTGGAAGAAAAGACAATGTCACAAGCCACGGTTATCAGAAAGAAGAAGCGCCCTGCCCCTCGACCACCTGTCACCCCTCCCCCACAACCAACCTCCAGAAAAGGCTTAAGTCTAAAAAGTAACCACTCTTCCAAAATAACATCCCCTTCATATTCACAAAACTTATCTGAACCAATTTTGATACCGGTGCCAAAAGGAAAATCCACCACTGGCAATACTCAACAGGAGTCCCAATCACCCAAACGCACAGATGATTTTCATGATGACTTATTGGACAATAGAGCTAAGAGTGATAATAGCAAAGGGAAAACAAGGATTACCTCGTTTTTCCGCAATATTCTACGCAGAAGGAAAGGTTCGCATGACACCTCAAGAGAACAAATCTCTGAGACTTCAAGTCCTCAAAAAGTCACTGCACCAATTAATCCAGCCATTCCCTCAACGGAAAAAGGCAAGGAACCCTCACCTGAACCCAAAGAAGAGAAAAAGTCATGGCAAGTCAAGGCCAAAGTTTTGTCTGCAGTGTCCAATAGGAAATCGCGAACTGGCATCATAATGTCCGCTACCGAGAAATCAGCCCGGTTTCATAAACCACATGGCAATAAAGCAGAGGATACAACGGAAAGTGAATGTGTGACAAGTAGCATGATTGTGAAAGAAAATGAAAGTAAAAGTGAAAGTGTTCCTCGATTAAATCCACCTGTACCAATAAGACCAAAACCCCGACTAAACGCGAAACGACCGACGGCCTCCCCCTATCAGGCAAAAAGGGAGGGACTTTCCTCCTCCCCATCTTCAGAAAGAAAAGGATCCTTGGGTTGTAAGGAAAGAAAGAGGTCAGACAGTGAAAGTGCATTAGGAAGCTTAGAAAAGCAAGATAAGGGCAGTCTGGAAAGGGAGATCACAAGAGTTCTGTCCAAAGAGGATAGCCTAAGCAAAGACATTGATTCCAAGGTCGTGAGAGGGAAAGCAAAGATTCCAGCCCCTCAGACGCTTGTCGTGCCTGGAACAAGAGTAGAAAATAAGAATGCTTTGTTCAAAAATGAACTTGAAATGAGTCTTAGTAAAAGTTTGGACTCTGAGGTCACTCTACCACCTGCAGGTCAGAAAGGAAATGTTGCATCTTCTAGTGGATGTCAGAATGAGAATGTGGTGCTATCTACTTGTGGGCAGATACCAAATGATGATTTGAAAACGTCGGTACCTTGCCCGCCCACCACAACCATCAAATCAGAAGTCGCAGAGTCTATAACCGGTGGACAGACCAATCAACAGTCAGCAGGTAGGATTTGATAGGCACTTACGTTTTATAGAGCAATTGATTATCAGAACTTTTCAAATATCAATTGCAATATTTTGCTTTTGCATCTTACAGGTATGACTCATAGATCTAATTCTAATATTTTCCTTCATTTTTCGGCTTTCAGAATTTGTCTTATACGATTAATTTGATAGATTTGGTAATTTTCATTTGGACATTTTTTCTTTATATTTACGTCATTAGTACTGATTATTGCTAGTTCATTATTTATACACTGAATTGACGACGGATTTTCCCGTTATTTCCCGATCATGACAAGGAGCACACGGCGGGTGTGACCGGTCAACAGGGGATGCTCACTCCTGCATGGCGTCTGATCCCACCTTTGATGTTTTGGAGCTCCGTGTTTGCACTGCTCCTATTTTGTACTGTTTTATGGACTTTTAAGTCATAAATTTGCCGATAAATGTTGAGTTTTTAACGCACTCTCGAGTCTTTGGCTCAATTAAGTAAGCTTTTCTTGTCAAAAAGACACCGTCTGTTTGTCTTTCATCTTTTATCGTTTAATGTCTGTTAACTTTACACATTATCGACTTATCAAGAACCACTGACCTAATTGTTATCAAACCTGCACAAATGATCCTTGGGTCTAGGTTAGTATGCATATGCCAATGTGCCTTTTAATTCCGTTTTTTTTAAATAAAAAAGAATATTTGTAAGAATTTTTTTATGAAAATTTGTAGCAAGAAATATAAGGTGAGAATTTTGAATTAACTTGTATTAAGTGGAATGAAAGACTTGATGCTTTAGTATTTACAAGTATTACTGATTTAAGGATATCCGATCCTCAGCCAGGAAGGATAACTCCAAAAATTAATATTTAATATGAAATGATTCAAAATGAAGCTTGAAAATGAAATTTTTTTCATGCAACAATTTTCATTTTATTCATCTTTACAAGATTCAAGGTTTTTGGAAGTCTTAGAAAAGGTCTTATAAAATTTGACTTTTGTACCCTATAAAAGGGGATAAAATAATAGTTTTAGAGAAATAAGATTTTCTTAAATCCAGCCTTAGATAACAATGCTTATTAGCATGATATGAAATAAGAAGTGATTTGTGGTGACTTGCAATGTATAGCAAAAGCCTTTTACACTATGTATTATAGAATACATGTTGGAAAAAAGAGAAAAAATACCAAATATGTATAAAAATCATGACAATTTCTCTGAATGCCTGGATACCTATCGTTTTTTAACCTGAAATATATTTGTTGATCAATTTGCAATTAAAAAATGCATTGCTGATATTCCAATTCGCTTTTTCTGCAAAAATATTGGAGATTTGACGATTTTCCCTATATAATATGATTAAGTTTAATCTTGAACTTTAAAAAATACTGTGGATAAATTTCCATAACTTTGTGGATTCAGAGATACTTTTATGAGTATTTTTGATTGCTTAACTGCTAATTTTATAAACCTGAGGATCGGACTACCTTAAAGCATAAATTTTTTTGCCTGAGAAAAAAAAATAATGGAATAATCTAGAAATAAGGTCGCTTAATCCAAAACAATAGCAAAATTTAAACTAGTGTAAATGTACACATTCGTGTATCTCTCCTTTTTCTGTTTCTAGTATGCACCATGGACATAAGGGCAGTGATAAAGGAATTCGATAATTGGTTTCGTTCGAATTACCCACACATACAAATTGTTGACATCTACATGGGAAAACAAACACATCATGGTTGGAAAGATGCTTTAGTGGTGATAATTGATCATTTAAATGTACTTGATGTACCACCATTTGAATATTTTGGGAAAAAGATTGATATTTATTGCAAACTCTGGAAGCAGTCTTCCCCTGAGAGCATGCTTATTTCTAAACATATTCATGTACATGGAAATAATATTAACCATGTTAAATTATCAGAAATCGAACGATGTTTAAAAGCTAATTCGCGATCACTTCTTGAGCATCACTCAAACCTAGAAATAGTAAGTGCCTCAGCATATCATTCAAGGAAGAATGGAAACAAAATTGATTTTGAACCTTGTATTGTGATATATTGTTCCTGCAAAGGAATTGTACCTTACGGAGAAAAAGAGTTTCCAAAACAAATTGATGGAATAAAGACAGATGTAAGAGAAGGATTCTTTTATTTGTTTCCGAACGATAGTTATTTCAAGCGAGCGTCTGATGTATTGGATCCATTAATGATCGGGGCAAGCATAGGAAAGAAAGGTATAAAAAAAAAATTCAAAGAAATTTCATGGCTGTCCTAAAGTTAACATAAATTACAGTTCTTAACAGAAGAATTCAAATATACTTTAAATACAGAAAAATCCCTTTGAAAGAATCCATCAAAAATGAAGAAAAAAGAAATAATTAATTATGCTGATCACACTTCTTTTGTAGCTAAAATGGGTTGAAATTTTTCAATTTACTCAACATTATTTCAAATTTCAATCTATTCATGCTATTAATATCTGATCTTGTATATTGTTTACCACTAAAAAGAAAACATTGTTTACAGATGAAAACAAAGAGGGAACTCTCGGTGGATTCGTCACCTTCAATACAGGGGAAATGGGATTCATAACATGTGGTCATGTTCTATGTGATTTATCTCCAAATAATTTTATTAACACGACATCCTTTGAAGTTGTTCAACCATCCTATGGCTATAGAAATACAAATGAAATTTGCGGCCAAAATGTAAAAACCACAATTTATGTAGAACAAGAACAACAAGTAACAATAGATACTTCCCTTGTGAGATTGACAGGCCGTATCCCTGAACGCGGGTTATTTTCAGAATTGATGGCAAATGAGCTACAAGATGTTGGTAATTATTCAGAATTATGATACATATACAACAATAAATAGAAGATCTAATCGTTTTGGATATACATATTTTTGTGCATGAAAAATGTCAAAAAATCTTCTTGTCAATGTATCATTTTTTGTATTTTTATTTATACAGGATTTAGTTTGAAAAATATTCCAGAATACTCAACAGGCAATACACGTGATTATCTCAAAGAACAAACTAAACGTACAAACCTTTGTATTAAATGTGGCGCAAGAAGTGGGCTAACGAAAGGTACCTTATGTGTTAGCGGAATGGCTGCTAGGTGTCGCGATGTACGCCTAAACCTAACAAACCCGCCAACACAGAACACATGCCTCTATCTGTCACAACTAGAAATATTTGGAATACCACAAAAACCTTTTGCAGTTTCGGGAGACTCTGGAGCTCTTGTTTTTCAGGTAGATCCTCGAAATAGTGCAGAAGAAGACGATCAATTATATTGTATTGGAATGATAGTTGGTGGAACTTCTTATTATTCAACCGTTGTCATACCCATTGAACCAATTCTAAAAGTATTTAATGTAAAGATGCAAACGTTCCCAGTAGAACCGATGGAATCGTGAATCAATAAATGTCCAGTTGAAATAGTAGAATCCTCAAGCAATAAAATCGGTGCATGGGTTAGAATCGAAAAGAAAGTTCCTTCTCATGGTAAAGAGAATTTTCATTTAAAAATGCAAATCGATTTTCAGTGGCCATTCAGTTTTTGAATGGAAGGTGCATGTTATTGTTTTATATCAGTTCACTTTTTGCAGTGATTCATCAAACACATACCAGTTATCTTTTAGTAACATTTACGCTCCTTTCCATGTTATTTTTGTCGTCTTTAAGTTCATGCAGCTTTCATTCAAGAACTTTTACATGACTTCTCTTTGTAAGGTCTTATTAATAGTATAAAAAATATTTTGGGTGGAAGACCATCCTCTCAAGATGACATAATCATAATCTTTATCATATTATTCACTAACCAGTATATTGCTAAATAAATATGAATTCTTTGGGCTTGCTATGACATTTGATCATGAAATATAACATTGAAAAATATCTATTAATGTACATTTTAGGATTTTTTAATCTCCAACAAGAGGTCCATTGGCAAAAACGGTCACCTGCGTATTCTTGGTCCTGCTGTTCTTCATCAGATTATCATACTAATTCTAGTCCCACCCAGTCGTCATGGTCTTAACAATCTTAATTCTGCTCTCCCTCAGGAAGCTTTCACATGAAATATTAGCTTTTCTGGTTCAGTGATCCTATAGAAAATTTTTTAATGATTTTAACCATTTATATTTCAATGTAAATCTTAAGTTGTGGCACTACGCTTCTTCTTGGTTCATTTTTTGAACAACTTAATTAAATTATGTGAAATTATAAAATATTTGTTCTGACTTGTTGAAATCGAATGTTCATTCAAAGTATTTTACCTAAATTGTTAATATATCCATTTTTCAATTGTTTTTCTCACATTTGCACATATACCAGCATCTGTTTGATTTTTTTCTTCACTCTTAATTTTTTCCACAGATTCCATTCAATGAACTTTATATAATTTACTGTAGTTTTAACGTATTACATTAAGCGGTATATTCTATAAATGTACATCGCTAAATGTCTTGTTTTTCATAGATTTAACGAGGCCGAGTCTATTTCGAGTGTGCATGACTTTTGCACAGCTTTTTAATTTCATGCAGTCATGTGTGAGACGGTGCACCTTCCAGAAATATTGTGATTTCAAGATAAAATTAACACTATCTGTTACGCCTACTGGTCTGAAAATGTGATTTTACGACAATAGAGAGGTTAAGCATTTGACCGTGTACGTCTACTTGTACGTGTAAACCTAGAAGTGACTTTACACGTACGAGTAACTAATGCCTGTTCTGTTTAACAAATTGAACGTGTACCGGTATGTGTAAAACGTCATTTCAACATATCACTTTACAATCCATTTGTATCAAATAAATCTATGACTGGAAATAAAAAAGATACATTAGATGTTCGTAATAAACTCTCAACTTCATTCTAAAAACCGAATAAAAAATATCTATTCCGTAGTTTGAGTTTAAGAAGCTACAAGTTTACACCAACGTGTACTTGCAAATCTACACGTTGTGTACAACTTGTAGAATTACGCGGTATGCAAAACTGATGACGTAAATCGCATAAAATTAGGGGATTTCCCTACTAGCTACACGTACACGTAGACGTACACGGTCATCTGCTTAACCTCTCTAATAATTTGAAAAAACGCTGAAATGGCTCTAACGACGTCACTGTTTTCCGATTTTGTAAGAAATGCACGACGCTGAAGAATGACACAGGACTCTCTTATATATTCGCAGACGTCCATAGATATTGTACTAAAAACTGTTAACATTACACCAAAGGAAGCATACTAGCAATCTAAATATTGCTATTTTTACCAAAAATTACCTGCGCCGATAATTCATCTGCACCGATATGTATTTATACCACAATACGGCAATTTTAGAGACATTAGGCATCGAAAAAAAAATTTGGACCAAACTAGATAGTAACATTTTTTGAAATTCTACAATTCGGCGACTTTTTACAATAACTTTCATCTACTTGACTGAAGAAATCTCAAGGGCAGAAATACATAAAATATGGGGAAAATATGATAAATTGGCGCTTTTCAAATAAATTCCCACAGGGTCCAATAGTAAAATTTGAAGACTTTAGAGATGCCCGCTAGGAAATCGGGGTGGTAAACATTCGATTTTTTAATCTTAACAATAAATATAATACTAAAAATTAATTAAAAGAAAATTATCAAAATTCCTAAGGTAGCAATAATTAGACTCGGCCTCGTTAACTCTAGCTATCTAGCTATTCAGATAGCGCTTAATCAAATCTACGCAAACATGTAATATAATAAAATAGAGAGGTTGAGATTTTAAACTTGTACGCGTACGTGTACTTGTATATATTTTGACGTGCACGTACACGTTTTTTTAAATTTGTCTGTTGAGATTTTTTTGACGTGTAACATGTACGTGTACACCGCGACCTGTGTCTCTGTTTCGACGATTTAGAAGAAGTTTTAGTAGTCAGTTTAATTAGTTAGTAAATAAAACTTTTTAAAAATAAGTGTTCGTGAAACTAAACATCCAATTTAATGTATAACAATAACATTTTCACACATAAATTAGCTAATTTTTATTATTAAAGCTACACGTTTTCATTTACGTGTAGATTCCATTCTACAAGTTTTACGAACGTGTAACAGTCTTGACGTCACTAAATTGATGACGTAATACGCAAGTAATTTAAGTAATTCCCCTACTAGACGTACCCGTACACGTACACGTTTGAAATCTCAACCTCTCTAATATTTTCAAATCAAAAGTGAAGAACACATTTCGCTTCATTTGCATATTTAACTGACAAAACAATGAAGAGAAGTCCAAAATACTAAACAGAAAATATTTGCTCGAAGAACATGAAGAAGGAATAACAGAATTTATCCCGCTTCAGACGAATTTGTGGATTGCTGATTGGATAAGAGCTGATCACATGACGCCCTGAAATTTTCCGTATTACGTCGCCGTCGAGGAGTAATATGAAAATCGGGCACGCGATTCCGTTCGAAGCGTTGTTATTGTAAATAGAAATGGCGGCTAAGAAACGGTTTACGTAGGTAGTTTAGTTTAATTTCTTGTTACCCTAACGATATTTTATGTTGATTGTTATTGAATTAAAACTTAATATTTTCATAATATGCAAAATATTTTTTATATTGAAAAAGGTCTTCAGCGGGATAAATTCGTAACACAGTCAGTTAGTGACCTAATACGGATTCATACAGGGTGTGAAATGGAAATCCGTATTGGGACTCGGCTTCGCCTCGCCCAATACGGATTTCCATTTCACACCCTGTATGAATCCGTATTAGGTCACTAACTGACTGTGTAACTAATAATATATCAACCATGAGAGCTAATTCTCTAATTTTAACATCTAACAATTTACACATTTTGATATGTGGATTCGTTATAGATATTTAGATAAGCGCTTTAAATTTCAACACATTGGATTTAATTAAAATATTTTGACAAATACGTAACTTTTGTGTTCTGTATTTTGGGTATTGATATATCAGTTCATTTAAATAAAAACAAATAATTATATCCATCCCCAATTTCATTGTTGCACACCTTTTTCTCCATTGATGTTAAACCATCTACCAGTCTCAAATCGTATATATGTATCCCGAGTTCTAAATAAACATTTCTATTGTCAAGGAGGCAAATTCAGCAAAATGTCTTTGTCGAAGGATAATTATTTTTAAATTATTTAGATAAGACCTTCAGTGGAAGTTTGTACACCACTTAACCATATATGCTTAAACAATAATCTAAAAGAGTGGTATATGAATTACTTTTTTAGCCATTGAAAGATATATCAAGGATTATATTAATTGAAATAAATCAATTTACACACAGCAATCAGAAAATTTTATTTAAAGTCGGATTTTGAAATAAGTATCATAATTTCATTCGAGAGTTTTAAGCGACGTAAAATTAAACATTCATACAAATTTCTCTGAACAACATCACGCATCATAAAATGGCTATTTAACTTAGAATGTCATATGATTTTTGTTTACTCAACATGCATTAACCTTGAAAATATTTTATCTTCTTTAGGGGGAAAATATCAATCATGGGCTAAAGGAACTTTAATCAGCAAAACGGAAAATACTGATACTGGAAAATACTAAGAAAAAATAACATCTAAAATTGCAAGCAAAAATGAGAAGTACTCAAAAGGTAGAATATGACTATCGAAGTACTGTAAATCACTTTTTATTCGGGAGAACTTTATTTTCGAGTACTGTAGATCACTAATTTTTCGCGACACCTTATTTTCGCGAGATAGTCGTTGACTCTTGATAAGCGAGACAAAATTTTCACGAATTGTGGTTATTGCTCTATATATAATTTTAAGGAATACTATTATACGCGAGAATTAAAATTTCGCGAGCACACTGTCTCGCGTAATTACGCGAAAATAAAGTTCTCGCAAATAAAAAGTGATTTACAGTAATTACACGAGACAGTGTGCTCGCGAAAATTTGATTCTCGAGTATAATAGTATTCTATAGGATTATATATAGCAAGAACCACAATTCGTGAAAATTTTATGTCACTTATCAAGAGTCAATAACTATCTCGCGAAAATAAGGTGTCGCGAAAATATTGTGATCTACAGTAATCACAAAGATAATCTCTAAGCCTGATCTCGAGTACATTAATATTAAAACAAGATAACTGCATGTACTCAAGAAATAATTAGTTTTTTTGTCATAAGAGCACTGATGACAAAGAGACAATTAAAACTGGATCTGTTTCATTATTTGACGATTTTTTTTTATCTGTAATGTGGCTTTGTTAATACCAATTTGCTTGTTTAACAATATTTGACAAAAGAGATTTTGCTTTAAAAGGTAAACTTGACACACTTTAGAAGGGAGATATAGAAATTGTGAAAGTACAGACGTGCTATATAATTCTGATTTGCATACATACAAAGGTTGTTATTCTGCTCGAATAAATGAGTTTAAAATTCTAAAGCATTTCAATTATTTCGAAGTTGAACAAAATGACACTTAGAAAGTGCAGGAGAATTTTTTTTACACCCCAGGCTAAAGGTTGGCCGACAGAGTGCTGTTTTATTGTTTCTTAACAACTGTTCGTGCATGTCCAGTGCAAAAGATTGAAATGAGTGGA